ATTTTTATCAACACAAGAGCATAAAGATGAATCGTCAACAAATAGAGCCACTTAAGATGTTAAATTTTCATGAAGATTGATATTGTAGGTAAGAAACAATACAGGACCAAAGATGTAAATTTAAGTAAATTTACTTTTAATCCAGAAGGAATAATATGCATATAAGCGTATCTCAGCTTCTGAGATGCGCTTTATTATATGCATACATATTATTGACATAAAGATGTATACATATTATGGACATAAACATTAATGTTTGTTATTTATTTAGATGCTGGCATACAATATCCTTTCATATTTATATAAACTTTAGCATTTATATGGGGTAGTATTTACCAAAGGAGAAGATGATCAGATGGATGTGTGGTGTGACTCTAGTAAGACAGGAAAAAAAGGAATAATCTTAGACAGATTAGAAAAAAGATTGTATAAAACAATGTTTGTTAGAAAAGATTAAAGTAATTTAGGTATCAGCATGTAGAGAGGTAGCATCTACAGTAGAAAATGGTAGTGGTAGAAGTAAGAAAACTTGAAAAGAGTGCCTTATACATTGTATGAATGAGCTTTAGTTAAGAATAAAAAGGCTCTAGATTGTTTATATTAGAGAAACAGCATAAAAGAGGAAGGCTAAAGACTGATAATGATAACGATTATTATCATCATAATCATCAACATTATCATGATCACCATCACCATCAGGCTTTAGCCTTCCTCTTTTATCTTCTTGATGATGGCAATGATGATGATGATGATGATGATGATGATGATGATGATGATGATGATGATGATGATGACAATGATGACAATGATGATGATGATGATGATAATGATGATGATGATGATGATGATAATGATGATGATGATAATGATGATGATGATGATGATGATGATGATGATGATGATGATGATGATGATGATGGTGGTGGTGGTAATGATGATTATGATTATCATGTTGATCATAATGATGTCACAAACCCAGCCCCGGCTCCGGCCTGGCTATATTTTATCAAACCCGGCCTCGGTCAAATATCAACCCCGGTCATTTACTAGATGTAATGATGTATGTCAGGCAAAGCTGCTAGTTTTTTGGGTCTTTAAAGAGAAAATTCTTTTTTGATCTTAAAAGATCTCACTCAATAGGCCTTTGGATTTGCATATTTGGATTATTGGGACAGATTTTTGTAATTCAAGAATGCATTAAAATTAAATCCTAAATGATTGGATGAAAGGTCGGATAGTAAAGATTTATAAAGTCGATATAAACATACAATGTGATTCAAATCAATAAGTTTTAAAAAAATTATTGCCAAAAAAATAAGAATTTTTGTGTTAATCAATATGCAATATGGTTTTAGGCCAAGAATCTAGTGCAGTGAGTTTTAAGTATTTAGGTGTTGAAAAAAGATTGGCAACAGTTGCCATGGTTATGTATAAAAATCTTACAACCTAAAAAAAAGTTGAAGAAAGTGATTATCGAAAAAGAGAGTGATAATTTTAAAGCAGAAATTAGTGTGTATATATGGTTTAGTGTTTCTTTTTTCTTATTGTTATGTTATAATATAATAATGATAACATAATATAATAATATAATAATGTTCAGAGATTTTTATCCACTTCTATTAACAAAAGGTGCATTAAAAATAAAAATAAAATATACAGCACATGAAAAGGTGCTATATAACATTAATATGGTTTGCACACAGAAAAAGTAGAACTAGAAGTAGGAAAATTTGGGGAGAATGTTTCAAAAAAGCTTAAGTTTAAAAAAAAAAAAGCTCGGTGCGGTCAAGTATTAGAAACGACATAATGAGAAACTTTCAAACAGGGGTGCTGAGAGCTTTTGCTTTGCCTGGGACAGCAACCCTGACTGACATCCTCATTTTTATATGATTTTTCTATATTATTAGTCAAGGACCTTAGTTTTGGTACCTATTTTTTGTTTTACACCCCTGCTGATTGGAATGCTGATTAAATTTTAAGCATATATAGTGCCGAAGCTTCGGCTTCGGCCAAAGCTTCGGCTTCAGCAAAGTGGCTTCTGCCAAAGTTTCGGCTTCAGCAAAGTGGCTTCTGCCAAAGCTTCTGCTTTGGCAAAATTTTAGCTTTGGTACATCCATACTAGAAATAAGTGTAATTTTTTTTTAATACTACAGCTAAAGTAGTTTAGAAGAGAATTAATTTTAATCAATCAAACCTGAGTGATATTGATGTCTAACAATGGATTAAGCTGTTTCTCTGGAATGACAGGAAGAGTGTGTTTATTAGATAAAAGAAAAGAATAAGAGGTACATATTTCTGCTTATTAAATTTATTAGGAATGGAATGTCTGACTTGTCTTTGTTAACAACACTGTTAAAGATTTTATAAAAGTCTCTAATCTTATAAGTCTTCTAACATCTGAGATAATACGCAAGATTTAGAAAACCAAAAATACTGAAGCTTAGAAAGAGATAGCACCTTCTTACATTAATTTTTTGTAATAATAAAAAGACAATTGTTCTCAGAAGAGTTATTCTCATTATTGTTATTATCTTTATCGAAGGTTATTATTTTACAAATAGAAGAATTTAAAAAAATAAATAAGCCTATCAACCTTTTATTTGATTGTATGAAATTAAACTAATCTAATTTTTTATATGTACTTGTACATTTGATGTGCCAATCTGTTTTTTAAACTCTGCAACAGATGTTGAATATACAATTTTGATGGTAGATTATTCCACAAATTTGTGACTTGCATGCTAAAAAGATTTTTTTCAATGCCTTTATACAAAAAATCTTTTTTAATTTTTAAATGTGACCACAGGTGTTGATGGAGTAATACTGAATGGTATTCAAAGTTAAATTTTAACTGATGAAGTAATACTGAATGGCATATAAAGAAAACAAATAGATTGTAACTACAGCTATAAAATTGTGATTCGATTTGTAAGTTTTTACCATGTGATTACATAAGGAATCCTAGTTAAATAAATCTCAGTAATCTCTTTTTATGTCAGACCAGTTAGGCCAAGAATAACTTTAAACTCGAGTGTTTGATTATTTGTTGATTATATTTGATTATTTGTTGATGCCTAGGTTAGTAGACAGAGCTGCAATAATCAAGGTGAGGAAATAAATAAAGTAATTTTATGATCTTTTGATCATTCCAACAATTTTATTTGCAGTGTTGATCTTAGCATTTACATTAAATACTTAGAAATTTCATTACAGTTGAAAAAGATGCTAATGTCTTTTTTGACAAGAGAGTTCTTTGATTAATTGAGATATTGAGATCTTACTGTGTATAAATTAACTTTGTGTTTATTTGTCCGAAGCACATAAAAAAGATAAAAAAAAAATTTCATTGAAAAGATGAAAAAAATATTTAAAATTTGAAATAGCAACTACACAATATAGTTTCTAGAAGGTAGGAGGCCTAAAATAAAAAGAATGATTTAATACACTTTAAGAAAATTAAGAAAAAGGTGCATTTTAAAATTTAACTAAGAATTTAAATATATTGTTCAAGTTAAGTTTAAATTTAACATACTTTCCCATTTGATGAACTTTCAGAAAACTTTTCAAAAGCAAATTTTTTATTAGACTGGAAGTCACAGTTCTCAAATGGTAAGCTCACAGTTGCAAGTTTTCTTTTACGATGATTAATATTGGTTTGACAAACATTAGAACATACATTTTGCATATTGCCAACAAAGCCATTTGATACATCAGAGAGAATAGGGTCACTTTTTTCATCAAAATACTTAACTAAAAGTTTACCATATTCTGAAAAAACACCATTGAGTTCTGTAATTGCAGCATCAGCTTCTTCTTTTTTCTCAAACTCAACAAATCCAAAACCACAAGATTGAAAAGAATCTTCCTTTTCCATAACAACATAAGCTAAAATAAAATATTAACATTATAAAAAAAATTACTTTGAATTAAAAATCTTTTTTCGCCTTTTTTATTTAATTTATTTTTTTTAAAGTTCAAAACTTTTATTATTATTATTTTTTTTAATGTCTAAAACCATAAGAATATTATAATAGTCACCATTATGAGGCGTTCCAAACTTAGAAAATATGGATTTTAAATCTTCGTTGTTTGTACTATTTGGTAAGGAACCAACAAAAAGTTTAATTAAACCATCCATCGTAAAACTAAAATATAAAATAAAGGGTATAAACGCTTTGTTTTTACTTCGTAAAAAGTTTTGCAGTAAAAGATAATAAAATTGTTTACCTTAATAAGCTAATAAGAAAATAACAGAATAAATATATACATAAATTATTGTTTTTAATTTTGAAACTACAGTTAAATAATTTATCAGAGAAGTTATTTTCCGAATTTTTTTTTTTTTTTTTTAATGTTGTTGTTGTTGTTTTATCGATGTTCCTGCCCTATTGTAACAACATTGGTTTGATGACCAAGTCCGTAAAGCGCATTTTGAAACCCTTTACAGGCAAAGATATGAGCGATCTGGTTGGCTGATTTTAAAAGAGAGGCTTTTGGGCGTATATAATAATCAAAACAAATGTCAAAAACTTTACACTAATTACTCTCATATATATTATTTATCTTACTAAAACATTTTAAGTTTGAGAATATTGCTTATTGGTTGTTATAGTTAGCCCAACCTGGGCCGTTCCGTAGGAGGTTTCTTCCCCCCCCCCCCCCACCTCCTAAAGCTGTCATATAAACATTTGAGTTGGCCCATTGAACAAGTTTTGAACTATAGTTGGCAAACTGCAAATGTTAAGGACCATTTTTTTTTTTCAAATGTTGGTCAAAAATACATACCTCTCCCCCCCTCCCCCATGGAAGACCTCTTCGGGACGGCTCTGAGCCAAGGTAATTTGCAACACAATCAAATTAAAAGCAATATTTAGCAAGAGCTGATTTGAATTGCCTTGGGTATTTTAGTAATAAAAGATTATTAAACATTGTAGCATCCCAGTGGGCACGGAAGTAAAAAAGACGTCTTTTAAACGTTTAAAATACGTCCAAAACGTTCAAAAAACGTTCAGAAAACGTGTTAAACGTGTATAAGACGTTTAAAAGACGTCCTTTTTTACTTCCGTGCCCGCTGGGATAATAAATCATAAGAAAAAGTCTAAAACTTGATGTCTACAAATGTGTTTTGATATAGCAAATTGATTACTAAAAAGGAATAACTCTTAACCACACCTTTATGAGGAACTAAGTGTAAAAAGGAAGAAACAAGAAAACTACATGTTGTAGTTCATTTTAATTTCAAAATTCAATACATATAAAATACATGGTTGTTGATATTTAGCTGTTAACCTGAAGAAAAAAAATTGATTATTTTATTCTAAAATTGGTAAAAAAAGTTTACCCTCTAATAGCACCTGATGGTAAATAATTTAAATAAAGCAACAAATTTTGATAAATTTCATTTTTATTATGCTATCAATCTATTTTACATTAAATACTCCTAAAGAAAAAAAAAATCTGTTTTACTTTAGAAAAATAATTTTTTTTTTATAAAATGTATTCTATATTTCCAAATTTTATAAATAGTTTCTTTATGTAACTTTTGGTATAACCAATTAGTGCTGGTTTAACCAATGGACACCCTGGACAAATGCCGGGAGGCCATGGAGTTCAATGGGCCAGAGCATTTAAGTGCATATTTGAGAGAGATATAATTTGAAAGAAAAATTATTATCGGCCTCTATCCTTGACTTCTGCTCATGTTTCAGAGACTTTTAATCTTTGCATAACAGGGCATACGACGTATTGCAAACTGGGCGTTTTATTTTTTAACGACTGGAAAGAACTTTTGAGTTCGAACATAATGGCGAAAAAATAAATTTAAAATAATTGGAGACTTTAATCATTGCTCATTCTTTTAGGATTATTATTCCGCGGATCAGACGATAAACTAGGATCGATACGCAATGGAAACTTTGTTGGATGAATTGAGCTATTAGTAAAATTTGATCCTTTCCTCGCCCAACATTTGATATCTCATGGAAACAAAGGAAAAGATTGTATCTAAAAAATTTGCAAAGAACTCATTCACTTAATAGCCACCGAGGTTATGGAATTTACAGGTAATATAGCGTTCATTGTTAATTCTACTCCCAATGGAAAAAACAAAACGGAAAACCAGTGGAGCGCAGGCCCGTCCCAAAGGAAGGGGGTGTCGGGGGTGTCACACCCCCTCCCCCAAAGCTATTATTTGTGAATGTCAGTTGGCACATTCGTACATTTAGTATTTTGAGTTGGCATTTTATTAATGCCAAATTGGTTTAAATAAGTTATTCATGCCAACTCAAATGGCAACTCGAATAATAGAAATTAATAATGCCAAGTTGGCATTAATCTGATAATATGAATACGCTAATTTAATATTATTATTATTAGTCGAGTTTTCTAGGCTTTTCTATTTTAAAGTAGTTTCTAGGCGTTTTTTTTTTTTTTTTAATTTTATTTACTATCAACGCGTATTGCGGATTGCTTACTGCTAGTAATTTATTAATGCCATTGTAATGGTTTTAAAAATCGCAAATGGTTTTAAAAATCGCAATTTTTTATGATTTCTTGACGTCAAACTCAAATACAAAATAATTGTGCATTTTGTATTTGAGTTTGACGTCAAGAAATCATAAAAAATTGCGATTTTTAAAACCACAACGAAGCTCCGATAGATTGATATTTTAGTTGCACTTGAGGTTTTGTTGTTCATATTTAGTTTGAGTTTTGAAATGTTTAGGTTTCTATTAAACGACTTCTAAAATGAGTGATATAGGTGCGAAACGCAAGAGAAATAGATTTAAAGATGAATGTTTAAAATGCGACAGTATATTTAATAACGATTTTAAAAAAAAGCACGAAGAAAAAAAGTACATAATGGGATATCAGTAAATATAAAAGACGTTGGTGCTCCCGAAAATCCTTTTCAAAGTGCTGCAAAAGCTTCAAAAATTACAGGAAAACGAGAATCGGTATGTACCTGATTTAATTTTTTATTAAGTTCAACGATAAATATACTAACTATTTAAGTTGTTGAATAATTTAAAACATATGAGTTTCGATTTAAAAGAGAAGTTAAAATTAAACGTTTAACAAATCAATCGATCGATTATGTATTCTAAATAAAAATCGCACACACAAGGATATTTACAAACAAAAAAATTGTTTTTAAAGTAATAAAAACATTTATTTTATAACTTCTTAAGATTTTGGGGTAATTTAATTAAATTTATTATTGCTTTTTAATTAGAGTATTTCCTCACGACTTACAATATTTAGTATTTTCTTTAATAAAAACGCATATTGTTACTTGTTGATTTAGTATTAAAATATTATTTCATATATTTATATGATAGAAGTTATATTGTAATATACTTTTAGAACCATGAAACATGTCTTTCTCAAACATTGGAGGAGGACTTAAGTCAAGAGGATTCAATTCAATCTTCCCCAATACTTTCGGCAATAGAAGAGGTTGACATACAACATGATGAAGTCAATTGGTTATCATGTGCTGGTCAGTTGGAAAATATTGTCACAGACTTAAACGAGTGTGGTACCATTTTGTCTAAATTGAAGTCTGAGGCATTATCAAATCCAGTGATATTCCTGTTAGAAAGCATTCAAGTCATAAGTCGAATAAAATTAAATTCTAAAGAATTTTCAAAAAATGCAAATATTTTGTCCGAACACATCTCTAAATCATCTAAAAATTTAGAACCAATTAACAATATTATTGATAATATAATAAATCATGATCTAGGCAGTCATGATTCCGTTGCTTCAACATCTCAGCGGCAATACCTTATTTCCTTAGGGCCGCATCAGCCAAAATTAACTAAATACCCAGTTAATACTACAATTAACAACATTAAACAACATAATTTTAAACCTAAATGGTACAATGAATATCCATTATTAGAATACAGTATTGTCACTGATTCTGCATACTGTTTTGTATGTTCTTTATTTTCAAACGGTCAAGAAAGATCTTACATAGATTCAGCATGGGTAAAATCTGGTGTTCGTCAGTGGCATAAAATGAAAAACTGTGGAGTTAAAAAATTGTGTAAATTACAACAACATTTTCTTGTTCTTCTCATAAAGCAGTGTTACATGATTATTATCAATTTATGACTACTGAAAATCATATTGATTTAATTTTAAACATATCAAATAGAAAAGAATCAATTAAGTTGAAACAAGAAAAAGATTTCAACAAACAAATTATAGTTATATTATTTGATATTGCTAGAACATTATCACAATAAGGATTAGCATTTCAAGGTGATGGTGACGAAAGTGGAGGAAATTTTATGCAATTTGTTCAGGCTACTCTCTAAGCATAATCCCTTAATGAAACGCTGGATGGATGAGTCTTCATCACGACCACATAAAGTTACTTACTTAGGTCTAAGATCTCAAAATGAATTTATTGAACTGCTAGCTAAAGAAACACGTAACATAATAGTAAAAGAGATAAACGAAGCAAACATTTATTCAGTATCTGCTGATACCACGCCAGATATATCACATCAGGACTGTTTATCAGTATGTGTTCGATATGTTAATAGTCAAGGCAAATCTGTTGAGCGACTTTTGGAAATTGAAAAAGGAAACGATAAAACTGGTTTGGGTACAGCATCAAAAAAAGTCAACATTTTAGAAAGTAATTCATTAAATCCTAAATTAATATCCTTTCAATCGTACGATTTTGCAAGTAATATGTCAGGAAAATTCAATGGAGCCCATTTAAACTTTCTGAAATTGTTGTTCACAAAGTTATATTTGTACCATGCCAAGCCCATCAGTTGAACACATTTTTAGAACATAAATGCGATGCTAGTAGTATAATTGGAAATACGATTGATACATTGGAAAACCTGTATGTCTTTTTTTCTTCAAGTAATAAGAGATATGGTTTACTTAATGAGAAAATTTCAAAAATTGAAATTTCATTACAACTAAGAAATTTGTCAAAAACCAGGTGGACAGCTTGTGCTGAAAGCGTTAAAGCCGTATGGAATTTATTAGAAGCTGTTGTTGAAAGCCTTGATGAAATTCAATTATTAAATGAATGTTTTAATAAAGGAACAAGATCAAAAGCACTTGCTATTATCTTACTGAAACTCTAGAAGCAAAAAGCTTATCTATAATTGAT